TGAAACAGTAATGTTCTGAGTTAGGTGAAGAAGAATTAAATTAAAAAAAGAAAATAGGCTGGGCACAGTGGCTCACACCTGTAATCCCAGCACTTTGGGAGGCCAAGGCAGGCAGATTACCTGAGATCAGGAGTTCGAGACCAGCCTGGCCAACATGGTGAAACCCCATCTCTACTAAAAATAAAAAAAATTAACTTGGTGTGGTGACACATGCCTATAATCCTAGCTACTCAGGAGGCTGTTGTGGGAAGTCAGGGACCCCAAACAGAGGGACCAGCTGAAGTTGTGGCAGAAGAAAATAAATTGTGAAGATTTCATGGACATTTATTAGTTCCCCAAATTAATACTTTCATAATTTCTTACACCTGTCTTTACTTCAATCTCTGAACATAAATTGTGAAGATTTCATGGACACTTATCACTTCCCCAATCAATACCCTTGTGATTTCCTATGCCTGTCTTTAATCTCTTAATCCCATCATCTTCATAAGCTGAGGAGGATGTATGTCGCCTCAGGACCCTATGATGATTGCATTAACTGCACAAATTGTTTCTAGAGCATATGTGTTTGAACAATATGAAATGTGGGCACCTTGAAAAAGGAACAGGATAACAGCAATGTTCAGGGAACAAGGGAGATAGCCTTGAATTCTGACTGCCGGTGAGCCGGTGGAACAGAGCCATATTTTTCTTCTTTCAGAAGCAAATAGGAGAAATATCGCTGAATTCTTTTTCTCAGCCAGGAACATCCCTGAGAAAGAGAATGTGCCCTTGAGGGTAGGCCTATGAACAGCCCCCTTGGAGGCAGCCATCTCTTAGGGTTGAAGCCGAGGGCATGAAATAAGCCCCGGTCTCCTGTAGCTCTCCCAGGCTTGTTAGGATGAGGAAATTGCCACCTAACAAATTTTGGTCAGACAGGTTGTCTGCTTTCAAACCCTGTCTCCTGATAAGATGTTATCAATGACAATGCATGCTTGAAGCTTCATTAGCAATTTTAATTTCACCCCATCCTGCAGTCCTGTGATCTTACCCTACCTCCAGTTGCTTTGTGATATTTTATTACCTTGTGAAGCATGTGATCTCTGTGACCCACACCCTATTCTTACACTCCCTCCCCTTTTGAAAATCACTAATAAAACTTTGCTGGTTTTACAGCTCAGGGAGCATCACGGAAACCGCCAACATGTGATGTCTCCCCCGAACACCCAGCTTTAAAATTTCTCTCTCTTGTACTCATTCCCTTTTTTTTATCAGACCAGCCAACGCTTAGGGAAATAGAAAAGAACCCACGTTAAATATCGGGGGTGGGATTTCCCCTGGTAGGAGGCTGAGGCAGGAGAATTTTTTGAGCCTGGAGGTGGAGTTTGCAGTGAATCGAGATCCTGCCACTGCACTCCAGCCTGGCCAGCAGAGCAAGACTCTGTCTCAAAAATAAATAAAATAAAATAAATAAATAAATACATAGAATTTTGCCAGGAGTCAAGTGTTGATTTTCATCTTCACATATTAAATGCAGTCACATGTTAAATATTGCAAGTACAAGGTATGCAATTTATGAAAGTCAGTAACACTTGACATGTAAAATTCACTAGAAAACCTAACATTAGTTTATTCGTTTTTTCCTGTGACTAATGGTCATCATTCATATTTCACTTACGGAATGATGGTATTAAAAATTTGCGGATTTTAATTTTCCAGTTTTTCCCCAACACTCCCTGTTAGTAGCCCTGACTACTATACTTCCTCACAACTGTTATAAACATGCTTTCCACCAATGGTTCTCAAATGTCTCTTTCCACATGGATCAGTAAATTTATAACAAAAGAGGGTTTCCAATTTCTTATTGTATCAAGTAATAGCATTACAATAAAACATCACCATAATTTTCAAAAAGAATGTACTATTTTACCAAATTTGGAAAAGACATAAGCCTAGAATAACATTCTGAATAAATATAAAGAACAAATTTACAATATATATTAAAAGCAAGAAGGGAATATGTAAACTTGTTTGAAGTAGAAAAAGCAACATGTGCAATCTTAGTGTATATAAAACTTTTATGTCATATCTTAATTATACAGAATATATTTAGTAAATGTTAACTTTCTTCCATAACTTTTATTTTTATAAAGTAATGTTAAAATGTTATAAAATGTTGCGGTAGCATTGCTGTTAGTGAATCCTTTGTACCCTCACCAAACCCATTCCTCGTTTTTGTAATCATTTTACTGAAATTGGATAAAAATTCTCCCCTTTCATTTACACACACACACACACATACATACACACAGAGCACACATTCATAAAAAATATTTAGTGATTTTCTTGAGTGCTAAAAATCTTCACATAAATGTAATATCTGGAAATCTGTCTGGGGGAAGGTTGCCCAATGTATTATTTTCTTCAGATTTATCATTATTGATAGATGGAAATTAGGTTCACATAATTTTCTTATAGCTTTACATTATATACCTTTTGACAGTTTACAGCTATATCCTCTTTTTCATAAGTATCTGGGGCTTTTACAATGTGCTGTGTTTACACTGCACTGAAATCTTAGGTATGTGTCCTCTTCACAAGTATAAATGTTTCCACATAGAGGGGAAATTCCTGGACGGTTGAGTATGTGCATTTTCAACCTCCTCGATAATGCAAAGTTTTCACCACAAGTAGATATGTCAATTTACGTTCCCTAATATAGTGTATGGGAGTTTTCACTTGCCACTATCTTCATAAACTTCTATCATTGCCACATTTTAATTTTTTTTTTTTTTTTTTTTTTTTTTTTGAGACGGAGTCTCGCTCTGTCGCCCAGGCTGGAGTGCAGTGGCGCAATCTTGGCTCACTGCAAGCTCCGCCTCCCGGGTTCACGCCATTCTCCTACCTCAGCCTCCCGAGTAGCTGGGACTACAGGCGCCCGCCACTGCGCCCGGCTAATTTTTTTCTATTTTTTAGTAGAGACGGGGTTTCACCATGGTCTCGATCTCCTGACCTTGTGATCCACCCGCCTCGGCCTCCCAAAGTGCTGGGATTACAGGCGTGAGCCACCGCGCCCGGCCCATTGCCACATTTTATACTAATTTTTGTTCATATGATTTTTTGGTTTAATTTACAATAATTAATTATGTTATTAAATTGATTATATTATGAAATTTAATAGTGATTATGAAATTTAATTAAAATATTAAAATTAATATTAAACTCTAAAAGGTCATTTAAAAGTAGAATTTGGAAACTTGTAAAGAATTATAAATATTCCTCAATGTCAAATTTAGCTGTAGTGCTATAATCCCTTTAATTATTACTGGAAAATGATAGAAAAATACATGAGTTGTCAAGTTTCACAAAAGCAAAGTTTTAGTTTTTTCTCCAGAATTAGATTACTTTTATAGAATGTTTTGTAGGAATCACCATTTTAATGTTCCCATAAATGAGTAAGGTATTTCAATTTGCTTTTTAAAAAATTCAATCCTGTATTTTTTAATATAATCCTAGATTTTAAAAATATTTTAATATTTTAATATTAAAATAAAATTTAAATATTCTATTATTAAATTTTAATATTAAAATAAAATTTTAATTTTTGAAACGTTTTTAATATTTTTAATATTTGATATTAATCCTATATTTTTTAACACAATCCTTTAAAGTCTTATAACTGTTTTTCTATCTTCATGTATCTTTAAGTTTTATTCCCAGGCATCTTACATACCTTATTGATACATTAATGCAATTTATTTAAAAAGTATTTTAATTAATTGTTGCTAATAAGTTGAGCCAATTTTTTTTTGTGTGGAACAAGTAGTCCTAAATTTATTTTGTTAGTTTCAATTGTTATTTGTAGATCTTAAGAAAAGGGATATTTATAAAGCCTTCAAATGACAATTTGTTTCTTCCTTTCTGGTCTCATGGACAGTTTTGTGGTAGAACGGGGGAAATTTTGTGGATATTCTAACTTATTTACTTGGCATTCTGACAGCCTCCTTTTTCTTTCTTTAAGCAGATTTCCTCCTTTTAGATTATATATTTCACAGTTTTTCCAGTAACAGTTACTTGTCTATTGGAAGAAAAATGTCTGAGTAGTTGTTTACCTGAATATAATCTTTTATTTGTCCTACCTCATGAAAGAGAATTAGTGAGCAGATGATGGAGAATCCTCAGTAGTTAGTCCCTCTTTCTAAATAACTTGGTAGTATTCCTCTGGCATTTATTTGACTATTTGCTGGTGAAATGTATGCTTAATCTGCTTTTAATGCTGCTGTTAGTTTAACTTTTGAAGCTCATCCACTTTGTCTTTTTGTTCACATATAAGATTTTTTTTCTTCATTTTCCTGTTCTTGAATCTTTTCTCTGAGAATTTATTTTATCTAGTTTAGGCATTTGGTGTATTTCCTCAACTTGATGATCATGCCATTCATCAAGTTTGAAAAAATTTACCCTGTTTTTCTCTTTGAATTTTGTCTCTCTCTACTTAATTTCCAGACTTCCCATTAAACATATGTCAGAGCTTCTCATTCTGTTCCCCATTTCTCTTGTATTTACTTCATTTTTTTCATATCTTTATTTCTTTATGCTACCTTCTAACATTTTTATTCTCATATTTATTGTTCACTTTACAGCCTCATTAACATTAACAGAATTATAACTTAACCCTATTGGTTTAGTTTATTTCCTTGTATTTCTATTTTGTGTTAGTAGCTTCAGGGACACAACATGGGAATAGTAAAAACTCCTTTTGCATACCACACTCTTGTTATTGAAATATGGTTGGTTTGCTTTGTTTTGTTTTTTTTTTTTTAATTTAAATTTTGATGTAGTGAACTCATACAAACCTAAAATGTAAACATGAAGTAGGTCCATGAAAATATTCTCTTTGAACGAACCACAGCATGCATACCAGCAACGTGATCTCTTGCTTATCACTCCTCTGGTGTCACCTTACTCTTATTTTCTCCTCATACCTCTTAATTCCTTTGTTTCACAGTCTCTGAGGTTCTTTCTTTATTTTTTTTTAACCAACTTTGTGATTTTTATTGATGGGCGACAACTTTATACTCCTAGATATCACTAAACTGTGTGCAATTAGGGATGCAGCATTAGAGAAGAGCTGACAGTAGAATTAAACAGAGCAGATTGAAAGAGAGATCTTCATTATTTGCCCATTTTTCGTTATGTGTACACAGAAGCATGAATGCGATTTGAAATCTTTTAATGACAATAAAGTTACAATCACCCATCTATGTAGACTAACATTTTAACTCCAAATATTTTATCTGTAATGTGTATGTAAGCAGTTTCTCTCCACACAATTATTAAAATTTCTCCTGTTAGGAACCAGCAACTTATTTTTTATGCTTATTTTTCTTCTGAAGTAAGAACTAGTTCTTCTTTGATAACTGGCTTATTTTTATCATTTAACAAAAACTAAAGGGTAGGGAAGAAAAGTGTGATGGATTAAAAAATGTCTTTTTTAAGGAAAGAGAAAATTCATTTTCACAAATTTACAAGTGTTGTTGCTGGTGCAGGATTTATTCTACTAAGCAAAGAGACTGGGGATCAAATCCGCTTTCTTATCTCAGGAATCAGCATTATTTCAGAAATATGGGTTTTTGTGGATTTTCTAAAATCAAGCGACAGTCTGTTTCAACCAAATGATTTTGATTTGGAAGTTAGAGTCAACAGAAACTATGTTGTGCACGAACCCCAAGGCATCTCCTTTTCGTTCTAGCCCATTCTTGCAAAGGGAGAAAGAGTTTCTCTCTAAAGAGCCACTAAAGAGAGGCGGGAAGTGAGTGTGAGGTGGTGTCCTACGAAGCAGGCACTGGGCGCACACACAGGGCACAGAGGGTTTACACCAGGTCCACTCGGCGGTAATACAGGAGGTCGGCTGTGCGTTCAGCAGTTGGTTTCACCACCTGGTACTGGTTGATCACCTTGACTGTCTGGTCATCAATGCGCAGCCAGCCATTCAGACCGATCTGGAAGACGTCTGTAGTGTACTGGCCGCCCGTCACACTGTTGCCGTGATGGTAGACCACTGCAGCGAGACAATAGGTTCTGTGGCATTTAAAATTCTTATTTTTAACCCCTGAAGAAAGCAGTTCTTTACTAATTTCCAAGTCCACAGGATATTCAATATTTTTGATAAGCTTCTGCACCCACCAGTCTTCTCATAAACGAATCGTTTCAGGTGTAGCACAAGGAGAGGAGGGAGTTTTTCCAGAGTCAATCTTCGACTATCTCAACCTCTTGTTTGGTTTTTGTGGTATAACCTTGGACAGATTCTCTTGCCACCAAGCTCTCCAGTGCATCCTGGGGTGTACGTATCTTGTTAGACTGGATATCCTACTGCAATGTGAAAAATGGCTGCAAAGTGGCAGATTCTTTTGAACTCTGCTGGTAAACCACAGACCAAAAATGCCGGTGATTGGAGTCTGAACAAACTCCTCCTGGCGGGTGACGGAAGTCTTGTTCCGGGGGTCCGCTTGCTCCCATTCATCCTCGCTTTCTTCACCTTGTTCTTCCTGCTTTTCTTCATTAATAGAGTGGTTTTGGGGGCCATTGGAAATCGTAAGTTTTTCATTATTTGGTGGGAGAAACTTCTTTAGGTTCAACATTTCCTCATGAAGTCCATTTAGGATAAAGCCTAAGAATTCTTCAGCATCGTCTTGTTGACCCTTTTCAGACAGGCTTGACTTGTTAAATGTCAGGAGTCTGTAAATATATGTGGGCTCAAAGGCAGCTCCAGGGTGAATGCCCCTCACGATTTTATCTCCAAGAGCTTGTCGGGGTTTTGGAGGTATGGCATATTAGTAAACTCATTCATTAGCCGAACAAAGCTGTCTATCATGGGTGTTGACGTACGAGGCCTTTGCACTTTGGAATACAGAGGAATGAACTTCATCAGGTGGTACATCGGCGGGCAGGCAGCCAGTGCCTGCAGTGTAGCATTAATGTAGCACCACTTCCCTTTACTGATCAGCCCGTGGGTTTGCAACGACACTGGTTTATGGATTAGGGTTGCATTCTCCAGTCACTCTGCAATCTTTATGGCTACAGGATCCTCTGAAACTGGAACAAGCCCTTCTTTGACTTCAACCTGCTTTACAGAAACCAGGGGAGATACGGTGGGAGGGGAATACTTAGTTTCCACATAGGCCACCAGCGAGGAGGAAGAGGGCTTAGAATCATGAAAGAGACTGGCCCAGGACTTGGGCTGGGTGACAGGAAGGGTGCCTGATGCAGAGCCCGTGCCGTCAGCCAGAGGTGATGCACTCTCGGGTTTGGTTGGGTCCAAGTCTATGCTTTCCGTGGTGTGCAACTCCACTCCGTTGGTAGCTGTGCCCTCACCCGAGGATTCAAGTATTTGCCCATTAGCAACTCTAAGGCTTTCAGTAGTATCGGTACCAACGCAGGGCTGAGCCCTAGCTGTCCTTGACGGGGTGTCTCTGTCAGCCTCTGCAGAGAAGCAGGACTCGCCAAAATTAGCCCTGGGGACCCCCTCCGGCTACCCGCAGTCCTGGTGTCACTGTCGAGTGCTCCGGGGAAAGGACTGTCAGGCACAGTGTCACTGACAGAATCCGTGGAGTTCTGGGGGCTGTTACAAGTCCTGGGAGTAACTGACGGGGGCATGTCACCCATAAATTCTGCATCCTCTGCACTGACACTGTTGGGGACTGCCGAACTGGCGTGGCCATTGACCAGGGCTTTTGTGGAAATACTATCATCACCACCATCTTTCAAATAACTGTAATATCCAGGTGGCCACTTTTTCTTCTTTTTACGCTCCCTTTGTCCAAGACCACCTGAGACACCATCATTTTTCAAAACTTCCGCCTCCACATTAGAACTTCCATCCAAAGCGAGGGCAGAGCCTGGGTACTGGCAGTCGGTGGAGCTCTATAATTTGCTTCTTTAGTTATACCATCAGGGGTTGTTTTGGAAGTTGTACAATCGAGAATAAATTCAGGGGCCTGAGGGTTCAGTGTGCTTGAAATACTGTAGCTGGGGTTTTCGGCAACGTGTCACTGGATTCAATGACTTCATTGACACCAAACTCAATTCTCTGATATTCCTGTCCATTAGGTAGTTTATCCACAGCCTGTATGCCACACAGAACTGTTCCACGGTACGGAGGAAGCTCAACTGAAGATCGAGGAGTCACAAAGAACTGATTGAATTCATCAGGGCTAAAATCTCCAAAAATATACTGCGGGCTGTGGAGGGCCGTGGCTGCGCGTTTCAATGGGACTCGGCGCTCCTCCGGCTGCTCCCGCTGCTTCCCCCGCCGCCGCCATCTTCTCGCCCGCACGTGCACAGCCTCTGAGGTTTTTTCAGTGAACAAAGCTATTTATTTTAATTGTGAGATAGCAAAATATATTGAGCTTTATTTTTGTTGCAAATAATTTTTGTATCACAGTTGTGAATTGTTTTTAGTTTATTTGTTTTTCTGATTAAACTCTCATGCCCTGGGAGTTTAGGAGAGATTCAATGTAAGATTTCTGTTTTTGTTTTTGTTACTGTTTGAGACGAAGTCTCGCTCTGTCACACAGGCTGGAGTACAGTGGCACGATCTCGGCTCACCGCAGCCTCTTCCTTTCGGGTTCAAGCAATTCTCCTGATTCAGCCTCCGGAGTAGCTGGGATTACAGGTGCCCTCCACCACGCCGGGATAATTTTTTGTATTTTTACTGGAGACAGGGTTTCACCACGTTGGCCAGGCTGGTCTCAAGCTCATGATCTCAGGTGTTCTGCCATCCTTGGCTTCCCAAAGTGCTGGGATTACAGGCATGAGTCACCGTGCCTGGCCTCAATGTAATGTTTCTTTCCCCCTCTTACAATTAAATAGTTTATCCCTTTCCCAAAGCTAGATATACAGATACACAAATACACATTTCCCATTTAAAAATTTACTTCTATGTTCCTAAATTCTACTTTCCTTTTGCTGTTCATCATTTAGAGTTGTGAAAAGTCAACTACTTTTCTCTCTCGTTTTACCTTCACCGTACCTTTAGGAAAAATATGAAAATATCCCACGAGGGGAAATAAAATCCTTACCTCAAGTTTCCTCATTTAACTTCAGGTTAAAGTCTCTGCTCGTAGCAAGAGACGTTGCAGTTTATACCAGGATTAAATGCTTGCTAACTCGATCAAGTATCTATATTGTTCTACAATGTGGAGTTATACCCAAATAGATATAATGCTAAAATTTTTCTAAATCTTGAGTTTCTAAGGGCAGGTTTTATATAATTCATATTGAATATTCTTATGTCATAGATAAAGGTAGGTAGGTAGTGTCCTCTGTCAGATATCACAACATTTTTAATAAAATGAGATTTATAACAATGAGTATAAATATACTTTTATTATTTTTTAAAGATTTTAGAAGCATTAGAACTTTTATATATCAGAGAAACTCTAAAAATGAAATCGTGGCATTCCAAGAAAATAACCAACTGTACATTATCAGATTTTTATTGTTAAACATAATTGGTTGTCTCATATTCTGATTTTAGAAAACATATATTTTTACTGACATTAAATATACTCTGGGGTAGGGTTAGAGTGCAAATCATCAAGATCTAGGACATTTAAAATTATAGAAATTTCTGTTCTTATCTGGAAGCATGCCTTTAACTGAGTTGAATTTAAACGCACATACACACACACACAATCTTAAATATATCAGTCTTATTTTTAGTCTGTGGGATAGATATGCAAGGAGGTCGTGTTTGGATTAGAATCCCAGAATTTGCATTGAAAAACAACATGTTTTGCACCTGCATGCTCCCCTAGAGTAATTTAATGTTGCAATTTCTGACAAGATAATTCCATCTTCACTGTAGTTGACTTTGCAGTAAGCTGTAGAGAGAAAATAAACGTGAACATACATTGGGGTAGGAAAAAATATATTTAACAAAAAGGAACTTAGCACATAAGCTACAAGACTCAAAATTGGAGAAGAATGACAAAAGGAGATACAGAATCCAAATCATAATTTTGTCTTTCTCTCCCTTCGAAAGACCTGCGCTGTGTGTGAGCTGTGTGTGCACAGTATGTCTGCATCGTGCACCCATCACTTAGCACTCTGCACAAAAACTAACTTTGCTGTTGGAGGAATATTCTGCGGCAGCACACCAGCATTTTAGGACAAAAACAAAGGATGGCACAATCTTTTCTGGGAGCATTTAGGAATAGTGAAAAAAAATATAACATTTCTTGCTTCAAGCAAGCTGAAAGATAAAGGTTAAACTTTAGCTGTTGAAGTCCTGGAAGTAGATTCATAGGGAGGCACGTGGACTCACACTTCTATCCATATTCCTGTTCACCATTTGGGATCCATTTTATTTTTCTCTTATTTTTTTTACGACAATTTCAATGGAATCCCCAGTCCATGTAGGAAAGTGTCCGTCTGAAATCCTTCTCAAAATTGAACTCACATTTAGTTTCCCAACAGGAGATGAGGTTAGGTACCCTAGATGAGCAGTAGAATGATTTCTTTGTGGCTCTGGACTAACTCTTATTTTCCACTTTTAGAGAGAAAAGTATGACTTGTCACATCTTGCTACTCTGTTTTGTGATTTTTCTTTAATTAACCAATTTCTGAGGCAATGGTCATAAATGGACAATTTGCAAGCAATTTTGAAATATTCTTTAAGTATGTTATAGTATACTAAGCCTTACAGTTCTGAAAAGGAGACAAGTCAATTAAATAAGATTAGCTAGGTGAGAAAAATACTATGCTCAAATACTCAAACAATATTCCATCCTCAATATTATTTTTTCAAAGGTGTGCCAAAAAGCTGTGATTAAACTGGGTCAAATTCAGTGTCGTTTGAAGACTCATGAGTGTACAGAATAGAAATTAATCTAATAACCTATGTTCAACCCCAGAGGAAAAAAGTTATCAAAGACTGAACAGTCTGAATACATTTTAGTCTCTCCCAAATTCAAAATTATATGACCCACCCTCCACCCTTCAAAGGACAATTTGTTGAGAAGTGGAAACACGCTATGGGTTTATATTTCAGTATATAACTCTTCTTAGAATCACAGAATCACAAGTTTTGATAAGATTCTTGTAATTATTTTATCCAACTCAATCAAAGTTTGAGTTTGAGTTACTTTTGCATCCGTATTCCTACAGTTCTAATTATAGGGCATTTCTAATTATTCGAATACTTATATTTTGAGAGCCAAGAGTCATGAGAAACAATAAATGGGTTTGACAGACTAAATTCTAACAACAAATAAAGAAAAAAATAGAAATTTTTGCAAAAACAAAGGTGTGGTCAGTAGAATAATGCCCCCCTCCTCTGACAACCCCTGCCACGCCCTCAGATTTCTGTCCAGATCCCCACAACCCGTGAATACTTTATGCTACATAGCAAATGAGACTTGAGATTGCTAATCAGCTAACCTTACCAACAAGAGTATCCTAGCTTAGATTTTCTGGGTGGACCCAATGTGAAACAAGGGCTTTAAAAGTGGGAGAGGAAGGCAAGCAAAACAGAATGGGAGATATGAGGACAGGAGCAATGCCAGAGAGATGAGGTGTGGGAGATACTGAACCAGTATTGCTGATTTTGTGGGTGGAAAAATGGGCCACCAGCCAGCCAGTGTGGCAGCCTGTGGAAGTTGGTAGATGCAAGAAAAAAAAAATTGTCCCTGAAAGCCTCCAGGAAGAAGCACAGCTCTACCAACACCTTGGTTTCAGCCCAGTGAGACCAGTGTCCGCCATCTGACCCCCCAGAACTGTAAAATATTAAATTTGTCCTGTGTTTTTATCAGTTTTGTAAGTTTATATGCAAATATAGCCTATTCTTCAAGATGATGTACATCACTATGTAAATTAGGTTTGCTTGATGTATCCATACCTGTATCTATTATGTTAAACTGATTTCAAACTGGAGCAGCCTTCAAATTACAGGTCAAAGGGCCTGTCACTAGCAGGGCAAATGGTAACAGGACACTAACTTACATGGGCTTCACATGGCGTTCATGTGTTTTTTCCTTTGAAGTACTTCATACTATGTTAAGGATAAGAGCAATGTTCTTCATTTTTCGTCCTGCGTGAAACATCAATGCCTTTCAAGAACTGCTTTATTTTGATGGGATTAGAAAGGAACTATGATATGACTTTAATTTTCTCTAACTATTGACTACCTTAGTAGCTTTTAGCCAGGAAATTGTTATAGCAGCAAGAAACTAATACAAAATAATTATAAAACACATCATGGTACAATATGATGCATTGAACAATGATTAATAGAAATAAAGAGAGAAAATTTTATTTGTCTCCTGTAGTAGGGTCCTTCCTCTCAGGATGGGTCAAGATCCATGATTCGGACACATAGATATTAAAAGTAATCCCAGCACCCCACACGGTCCAGAATTGGACCTGGTCAACATGGTCTCTAAAATGTACATGAGTCCAGGCTTGGTTATAGTGCAAGGGAAAAAGGTATTGTCACAGCCTGGCAAGGGAAGTTAACGTGGGAGATGGAAGACACGGTGGGTACACCAGTAGCCCTCTGAAAGATGGGAATTCAGACACACCCTGTGGAAAATGATGGCCTAGAAACAGAGGATCACATGCACTGCTTAAATAAATCTCACAAAAGATGAAGTAACATAAATATTACTTCTGGTGGAAAGGGTTTGAATGAAGTAAATAGAGAGCTGTGGAAGCAACTATCAGAAGGATCAAAAAGGAGCTGAAGGACTTGCCGCTGTGTGATGGAACACAGAGGGAAGGAGACAGCTGACTGCTGCTTTTATGCACATGCTTTCCCATAGGATTTGATACAGAAAAAAGTTTATGCATTCATTTTATTAAAAGTCAATTTTTTTATAAATAAAATTCTGATTTATGCTTTTTGACAGAATTTTTTGGAGCCCAAAAGTGAATAAGGATGAACTTGAGTCTCTCTGATAGCACTTACTATTAGTTTTAGCTTACATAAAGTATTATTTATTTTCCAAAAATGGGGACAAATAATAGGACTGACATAAATCACAGATATGTATATATCAAGCTATTATTTCCATATTGTGGCCAAACAATTGATGAAGGCAAAAGTCAAATCACAACACTTTTCTAATTCCATCAAAATAAAGCTGCATTTGAAAGGTATAGATGTTTCATGTAATAGGAAAAATGAAGAACTTTACTGTGATCCATGATCTAGTATGAAGTACTCCAAAGGAAAGACCACATGAATGCCATGTGAAGCCCACATACGTTAATGCCTTGTTACCATTTGCCTTGCTAGTGACAGGCCCTTTGGCGTATGATCAGTAATGTGGAGGCTGCTCCAAGGGGTTTATCATCTGTTTAACATGATACATATAGATATAGTTATAGATATATCATGCAAGTCTGATTTTTCTAGTAATGTAGATAATCCTGAAGAATAGGTTAAATTTGCACATAAACTTAGAGAACAGAAAAGAATAATATAACTTCAACTTTCCTTAGAGAGTAACAGGCCCTTGTAAATATTGATGACAAAGTATTGATGCTAATGAAGTCAACACACTGTTCTATACTGTGGCAACGTAAAAGAGAATTTTGAACAATCTTTCATTAGGATATGCAATCCATGTCCCACCTCCTTGACTCTGGGTAGGTGTGTGACTGTTTTGATTAATTGAGAGTGACAGAAGTGGTGCTCTGTGATTATGAGGATAACTGATAAAATATCCTATATCTTCTTCTTGCAACTCCGGGAATGTTTTCTCCGGAAGGATCCGGTTCACATGAAGCAAGTCCAGCAACTCTGACATTGCCGCTGTGGTTGCGAGTCCATAAGAAACCTCTTCTGTTTCACGCACACTCCTGGCTGAGCTCCAGCCTGCTAGGCGGCATCATTTGGATACCAGATCAACAAGCCATTGTGGTTCAGCCCAATTGAGCTTTCAGATTACTATAGCCCCAGTCAATATCTGACTACAATTATGTGAGAGATCCTAAGCAAGAATTTTCCAGCTGAGCCTTTCATCACTGACAAAAATTTATCACTGAAAAAATTATGGACCAAGAAAAATGGCTATGTTGAGCTTGCTTTGTATAATTGGTGAAATAGTATTAATACCTAGAATATGAGTGTACTTAGGAGTTTATTTATTTATACGTGTTGACATGGGTGAGAGAAGCAGAAGAACTCCAGGCAACCACACAACTTCACGTTTTATTCCTTATTTATAGTATCACTTTTTTAAAAAGTACCCTAGGTCTTCATTTTCCTCATTTTCTTATCTTCAAACAGGAGTTCATAATAATAAGCAACTCTCCAGATTTTTATAGTAATGAAATAGGATAGAACAAAATAAATCTCTTGGCCTTAGTGAAAGTCTAACACAGCCAGCCTCTATGGGAAGTTAATCAGGGCTCCTGAAACTTGCAGTTCTGGACCATGTGCTCACCAGATGCACAGAAGCTTCAGTGCTCTGCATTCAGAGAGGTGGAGAGAGGGAAGGCATTTTCTTTGGCATCCCTTCTCATTCTGAGGGCTTGTGATTTTACATTTTATTATGGTTATATGTCTTTGATTCTGCACTTGAAATCCTTGAAATAAGAAAGATATGAAAAATTTAAGGTTACCTATTATTATTTTTTCCTTTCATTAATACAGTAATTGAAAACGATTATACATTAAGAACAATTTTCTTCTTTACCAAGACAAAGTATCTCATTTAATAGATATGGGCAGTGCTTTATATAAACATTTACTGTGAGATTTTCCAACATAGATGAACAGTTAATGGTACTCTCTCCTGTGCAATCAAGAGTAATTATTCATTGCAACATGGCCTTCTGACATTTTCATTCAGAAAAAAATAGATACGAAATTAGAATAGAAAAACTAAACTATAGTTATGAAATTACCCGGTAACAAAAACAAAGGGAAAATTCCAAGGAAAAGATAATCGTCATTTATTGAAAGAAATATTTTAATTTTAATGACTTTTTTTCATTGATACTTAAGAAAGCATCCATCTCAATTTGTTCTAAGATAGCTTTCGTGTGTGTGTGTTTTTTAGTTACTAGAAAATAGGTCAACTGTCAGTTCTTCTACGACTGTGTTTATAACGACACACAGGAACAGATTTTCTCTTTGCTTCCCCTATGATAAGATATA